TGGCGCGATCTCGGCTCACCGCAACCTCCGTCTCCCGGGTTCAGGCAATTCTCCTGCCTCAGCCTCCTGAGTACCTGGGATTATAGGCTCACGCCACTATGCCCAGCTAATTTTTTGTATTTTTAGTAGAGACGGGGTTTCACCATGTTGACCAGGATGGTCTCGATCTCTTGACCTCGTGATCTACCCGCCTCGGCCTCCCAAAGTGCTGGGATTACAGGCTTGAGCCACCGCGCCCGGCCAATGCATTTTAATTAATTAATGAAATAATGTCTTACTACAGTCACTCTGTTATGCTAGCAACTACTAGGTCTTATACATTCATTCCTACTACTTTTTAGTACTCATTAACCATTCCCACTCCCTGCCGGAAGCACCAACTACCCTTAAAAGCCTGTGATAACCATTCTTCTACTTTCTATCCTTGTAAGTTCGATTTTTTTATTTTTTAGCTTCCACAAATAAGTGAGAACACTCTAAGTTTGTCTTGCTGTGTCTGGCTTATTTTATATAACATATTGTCCTCAAGTTCCATCCATGTGGTTACAAATGACAGAATCTCATTCTTTTTATCACTGAATAGTACTCCATCATGTATATGTACCACATTTTCTTTATCCATTCAAGTGTTGATGGACACTCTGATTGCCTCCAAATCTTAGCTATTTTGAATAGTGCTGGAATAAACATAGAACAGCAGGTATCTCTTTGAATATTGATTTCCTTTCTTTGGGGTATATACCAGCAGTGGGATTACTGGATGGTATGGTGGCCGTATTTTTAGTTTTTTGAGGAACCTCCAAACAGTTCTCCATAGTGTTGGTCTTTTTTTTTTTTTTTTTTTTTCGAGACGGAGTTTCGCTCTTGTTACCCAGGCTGGAGTGCAATGGCGCGATCTCGGCTCACCGCAACCTCCGCCTCCTGGGTTCAGGCAATTCTCCTGCCCCAGCCTCCTGAGTCGCTGGGATTACAGGCACGCGCCTCCATGCCCAGCTAATTTTTTGCATTTTTAGTAGAGACGGGGTTTCACCATGTTGACCAGGATGGTCTCATGATCCACCCGCCTCGGCCTCCCACAGTGCTGGGATTACGGGCTTGAGCCACTGTGCCAGGCCAATAGTGTTGGTCTTAACTTACATTCTCACCAACAGCATACAAAGGTTCCTTTTTCTCCACAACCTCACCAGTGTTTGTTATTTTCTATCTTTGGGATAGAGACCATTTTTACTGGGGTGAGATAATTTCTTACTATAGTTTTGATTTCCATTTCTCTGCTAAATGAATTATCTTCAGGGTTTAAAAAATTTTTTTTTTTTTTGCGACGGGGTTTCTCTATGTTGGTCAGCCTGGTCTTGAACTCCTGACCTCAGGTGATCCACCCCCTTCAGCCTCCCAAAATGCTGGGATTACAGGTGTGAGCCACTGCACCTGGCCCTTCAGGATCTTTTAATATACCTTTTTGCCTTTTCTATGTCTTCTTCTGAGTAATGTCTATTCATAACTTTTGCCACTTAAAAAATGTATTTTGTGTGTGTATGTATAGTAGGTGTATGTATTTATGAGACACTTGAGATGTCTGGATACAGGAATGCAATAAAAAATAATCATACCATGCAAAATGGGGTATCCCTCCCCTTCACACAGGCAGAGGAGCCTCACCCCATGGCCTTCACCGCAGGCCTATGGAGAATACTGCTAAGCTTCTGCTGATGGTCCCTTAAGGTCCAGTGGCTCCTTGTTCAGCTTGTGGTGAATGCTGCCTGGCCTGGGACTTACCTTGGCCCTGAGTCTCTGGGTACCCACATTCTTTTGTGTCTTCTTTAAGGGACGTTCTCTGGTGCCTAAGATTGCCAAGATGTTCAGTGGCTCCAGGAGGTGCAGTGCAGGATCAGACTGAGTCTCACAGGGTGCAGCCACAGAAAACATTAATAACTAGTTTCATTCTTCTATGTGTGGCTATCCAGTTTTCCCAGCACGATGATTTATTAAATAGGGTATTCTTTCTCCAATTTATGTTTTTGTATGCTTCGTCGAAGATCAGTTGGTTGTAAGTATTTGACTTTATTTCTGGAGTCTCTACTTTGTTCCCTTGGTCTATGTATCTACCTTTATCACGGTACTATGCTGTTTTGGTTACTATCGCCTTGTAATATAATATAAAGTCAGGTAATGTGGTGCCTTCAGATTTGTTCTTTTTGCTCAGGACTCCTTTGGCTTTCTCTTCTCCCTCAAGAATGTCAATGATTCTCATATTTGGACATTATACATACCTTATATTTCTTGGGTACCCTTCCCATTTCCTATCTTTAAAGAAAGAAAGAAAGAGAAAGAAAGAAAGAAAAAGAAAGAAAGAAAGAAAGAAAGAAAGAAAGAAAGAAAGAAAGAAAGAAAGAAAGAAAGAAAAAGGTAGTTTTTTCTTTTCTTTTTTTATTTTTTAAGACGGGGTTTCACCATGTTGGTCAGGCTGGTCTTGAACTCGCGACCTCAGGTGATCCGCCTGCCTCGGGCTCCAAAGTGCTTGGATTACAGGCGTGAGCCACCACACCCGGCCATGATTTCTTTTTTTTTTTTTTTTTTTTTTTTTTTTTTTTAGTTTTTTAGTTTTTTCTTCATTTTTGTTCAATTGGGTTAACTCGAAAGCCTTGTCTCTGAGCTCTGAAAATCTTTCTTCTACTTGGTCTAGCCTACTTTCAAAGCTTTCCTCTGCATTTGGTAAGTCTCTAAATGTGTCTTTCGTTTCTAGAAGTTCCAACTGATTTTTCTTTAAAATGTCTATCTCTTTAGAACATTTTTATGTATATTCTGAATTAACTTTTAAATTTATGTCGGTTTTTACTACTTTCTTTAATTTCCTTGAGTAACTTAATAATTAGCCTATTGAATTCTTTATCTGTTATTTTATTTTTTTAAGCTGTTCCATGGCATTTATCTGGTAGTTTGAAGATTTCATCTTGGTTTGGATCTATTGCTGGAGAGCTAATCGGTGTTATAGAACCCTGCTTTGTTTTATTGCCAGAATTATTTTTCTGATTTCCTCTCATCTGGTTAGACTAATTCTTCTAATTATTTTTTAATTTATTTTTTATTCAACTGCGATTTTTCTTAGTTCTTTCTTCCCTTTGAGGATGTGACTTTAATGTTTATAGTTTATTATAATCTATGACCCTGGGGGTTTTCATGAGTGCAGACTCTGCATGAGTTCCTTGGTTATGTGGAGTCTTTGTATGGTGGCTTTCTCAGATGCTAGTTATAGTAGCAGCAATGTGCTCAGCATGAGTGCAGGTTCACTGTCTCTGTTGGTGTTGGAATGGCAGAGGTCTCTTGACATTTATCCCATCCCCCAGGAGTATGCACTTTATTTATATCCCCCAGTGTTTTGTTTACAGTTGAACAGCTCAGGCTTTAGGCCAGTCGAGGGAGGTGTCATGAATAAAAACCAGCTGTGGTTAAAGCGGTTTGGTCGATGCAGTTCCCAGTGGTGGGCAGAGGTCTCAGACTTGACAGAGGTGGCTGAGGGAGTGCTCAGTGATTAACACACTGAGGTCTTTTCAAGGGTAAGGGAGGGAGCCTCCTCAGCTCCCCTGCCAGGACAGCAGGAAAGCTAGCCACCTCCCAGATACACTCCTGACCCAGTGATCTGACTATTCAGATCCGATAGGCACTTCTTTTCATTTGCAGGAATGCTGATATTCCCTGATTGTGGCTCTACCCCTTATGCAAGCCTGAACCTGGAGGGTGCTGCTCTTACAGGATGCAGTCACTCTGAAGTATTCCAGAAAGAGTGTCTACATGCATAGCCATGCCAAGCTCTCATGGAAGAAGCCTTTCATGGTCCCCAGAGCTGCCTGACTGTTGAATTAGGTCTGCAGACTTTTCCCCTACTGAACCCAGCACAGCACCTGTGCCTCTGCTGAAAGAAACTTTTCATATGCATAAAGTTCTGGGATGCAAGGTCTGCCATCTGGAATATTTTATCCGATGGGGTGCTCTGTTGATATGGTGCACTCCCCTTTCCCCTAGGATTAGGAGTCCCCGAGGGCCAGCCTACTGTGAAGGCTGCAGCTCCTCTGGGTCCAGCCACCCAGTGGGGTGGCCACAATCCATGCTGGTGCTGGAGAATGTCTGCAAGGGACCGATGATGTAACAGATCCTCGAGACTCCCAGCAGTGGGTACCAGCACCAGCTCTGGTGGGGGAAGAAGGGTAGTGATGTGGATTCTGTGAGATTGCTCAGTTATAAATAGCCTTAGTGTGTTGGCTTTCTCAAATGCCAGGTGTGGTAGTAACAAACTGGTCATGTGGACACACTCGGAACTTCCTGATTAACCAGGTTGATGCAGGCAATGGTGATAGCTGAGGTCATGCCCAACTTTTCTCCTTCCTGCTTCCTATTATTGTGCTTGCAAGCAGATGCTATAATGGATTCCATCAACTGGCCCACAGCCAGGAGGTGGCGCTTGCAAAAGAGCACCAGCTGTGGTGGTGGCAGTGGAATTCGCGCCTTAGGTTACCCAGGAGAGGTGCTCTGGTGTCTCAGGCAGTGGGTGGGGCCATAGGGATCCCCAAAGTTTCTGTCCTATGTGTTAATATACCAGGTGAGAGCTCAGTCAGGCAAGTGGGCGCCCGGCTTTCCACATCGAAAGCAGTAGCCCTATTGGGGATCAGAGACTGGTTCTCTGGCTGCAGAGATAGTGTTCCAAGGAGGATCACAGCTGCCTCCACTTCACAGAAGAGTCTGTATGGGGAATGGGGAGTAGCAGGTGGCAGTAAGCCCCACCCAGCTCCTACACTCTTGGCAAGACAGGTCTTGCACCCACAGCATTCTTAGCTAGGTTCCAGGCAGTCTGTGTTCAGAACTCAAATGTGCCCCAGGCCATAAGCCTTCGCTGAGGTGCCAGTATCTGCAGCTTTCAGGCCGCACCTAACCCACCGAGGTTAGGCCCCTTCCCTGAGGCCTCCCAGTCCCCAAGAGCCCCCTGCAGGCTGTCAGCGAGGCCCACGCAGAGGTGACAGAAGCGTTTTATTCCGGAGAAGCTGCACAGGCAGGTCGGTGGGTCAGAGAGTCACTGCAATCCTGCGTTCAGGGGCTCCACACGCAGCCAAAGTCCCCCCTCCGCACGCATGATCAGCTCCGGCTTTCTGCGGGGCTCCCTGTGGTCCGGCAGGAAGCGGAAGTGCAGCAGCGTCAGCGCCAGAACAACCTTCATCTCCGCCATGGCGAACGCCTGCCCGATGCAGTTCCTGCGGGCGGGAGTGGGGACTGTGACTTCCCCAGGACCCGCATTTGGGCCCCGTCACGTCAGGAACCTGGTACGGGACCCCCAGCCGCACCCAGATCGGCCGGAGAGATAGAGAGGGGCTGAGCGTGCCTGGGACCCCCGTGTGGGTTGCACGTCCCCGGAGCCTGGGCCAGACTCCAGCTCCCAGCTCGGACCAGCAGATGGAGGAGGGGATTCTGAGCACTCCGCGGAACCCCTAGGATCTACTCATCCCCATTCTATGGACATTTTCCCATAACTCTGAAGGAATGGAGGGAAGGAGATCTGGAACTGGGACCACCTGCAACATCCTCCTTTTTTGACACCCGCACCCATCACCCCATCCCCATACCAGACACAGACGGCCCTTACCTGGGCCCTGCGGAGAAGGGAATAAAAGCCAGAGGTGACCTCTCCTTGCTGTTCTCTGGGTCGAAGCGGAAGGGGTCGTAGACCTGCAGGTGAGACCAAGAAGGTTTGCTGGGTGGGGTCTCCCGGGATCGGCGGCCTTGGAGAGACAGTTGTGTGTGTGTTGGGGAAAGGTGATGGATTTTCCTGATGAAAACCCTGACCCCTCCCCTAAGAACCTTGGAATTGATGAAAAAGAAGGCAGGGAGTGAGGGGGAGGATGGGGAAGGCAGCACCTCAGGATCCGGCCACACACTTGGGTTGTGATGGATTCCTAAAATATTGATGACGCAGATAATGTCTGTGGGAGAGAAGGGGGCAGTCAGGATGAGGGCTACCTGAGGGGCCCGTCTTCCTATGAGGGGACTCCTCCCCCTGAGTCTGTGGGCACCTTTGGGGATGACTCGGCCATCTGGGAGAACAATGTCCTGTGCACAGCGTCGGGAGATGAACGGAGCTGGGGGATGCAAACGCAGGCTCTCCTTCAGGCACATGGTCAGGAAGGACAGCTGGGCCAGGTCGTCCCTAAAGAAAACACCCCAGCCCCAATCATTATCAAGGGAGCAAAGACACAATTCTTCAGCTCCTCTGTTTGCAAGTGAACCCTTTTCTATCACAAAATAAACTCCGTGGGGATAAAACATTTGAGAATTTTAAAAAGCAGAAAACAATTAGAGAAGCAGAGAATTAGAAAAGTACCAGAGAAAATTTAGCCAGGTAGTTAAAAATATATACTCTGAGGAAAACACCCAGAAGCCGGAGGTAAAAAGTTAACAAATTTGCATAACGTAAATATTGTCTATGGCAAGAAAACAAACTCAAATGCAAGTGAGGAGGAAACAAAATACCAAGATGCAATGTTTTGCTCTTATTTAGCATCATACTAGAGGTACCAGCAAGTGCAATTAGGCAAGGAATTTAAAAAAAGAGTCACGCAATTTGAAATGTGGGAGTAAATGTATCATTTTGGCAGACAGTGATTTTTATGCTTAGAAAGCACCCCAGACCCCACTGGAAAACGTTGATAAACATTTAAGATCCAGCAAGTCTTTGCTTAATCTTTCTTCTTTTGCAGTAGCTATTTAAAATTTTAATACCATCTACACTTACCTGGTTCAAAATTTGAAAACCGTAAAACATAATCCAGTGCTATGGCTGAATGCCTGCTGCCTCTCCCCACATGTTGCCCAGGTTATTAATAATGTATCTTCCTGGCCTAATTTTTAGCATTTTAAAAAATTATATAGGAGCACACCATCTATTATACACACTATTCTGTATCTTTTTGTTTTTTTTTCTTTTGAGACAGAGTCTTGCTCTATTCCCCAGGCTGGAGTGCAGTGGCGCAATCTCAGCTCACTGCAATCTCTGCCTCCCAGTTCAAATGATTCTCCTGCCTCAGCCTCCCAAGTAGCTGGGACTGCAGGCATGCACCACCACACCCAGCTAATTTTTATATTTTTAGTAGAGACAGGGTTTCACCATGTTGGCCAGGCTGGTCTTGAACTCCTGATCTCAAGTGATCTGCCTGCCTTGGCCTCCCAAAGTACTGGGATTACAAGCATGAGCCCTCGAACCCGGCCTGTATCTTTTCTCATTTAACAGTTTATCACTTTTTCATAGCCCCTGGGACTTACATCAAAATAAGGTTATCCCTACTCTGGAACTATGAAATAATTTTCTCCTGGTTTCTGCTACAGCTTTTAGGACTCTTTTAAAAAAAAAAAAAAAAAAAAAAAAGATTTATCTGAACATTAGCTTGTCATAAGACATGAAAACCAGGTTCAGTTGTCTTTTTTCCAGAGGCTTTCCAGTTGTTCCCAGAGCTTTTACTTAATTATCTATATTTTTTCCCTTGATACACAACACTGTCTTTAGCATGTACTTTGTTAATTAGGCACAGAATTCATATGCATAAATCATTAGTTTTACCATGTAGAAATAACCAGCAACTGAGAAGATAAAAGACACTAGTCATAATAATATAAAATACCTGGATTAAACTTAAAAAGATACATGAAATCTCTGTATTTTGTTATAAATTTCCCTCAACTCAAATAAATGATACACTTTACCATAGCAGCAATTGTTTGTGAGGGTTGATTTAACAACAACAACAAAAAAGTCACTCCACCAGATATTAAAACCTGTTGGAGGCTGGGCGTTCACGCCTGTAATCCTAGCACTTTGGGAGGCCGAGGTGGGTGGATCACCTGAGGTCAGGAGTTCAAGATCAACCTGGCCATCATGGTGAAACCTCATCTTTAAAAAAAATAAAAATAAAAAAATAAATAAAACCTGTTGGAAAGTCACAGTATTGGGAGGCCAAGGTGGGCGGATCACTTGATGTCAGGAGTTCCAGACCATCCTGACCAATGTGGTGAAAACTGGTCTCTACTAAAAATACAAAAATTAACTGGGCATGGTGGCAGGTGCCTGTAATCCCAGCTACTCAGGAGACTGTGGCAGGAGAATCGCTTGAACCTGGGAGGCAGAGGTTTCAGTAGGCCGAGATGGCACCACCACACTCCAGCCTGGGCAGTATAGCTAGACTCCATCTCAAAAAAGGAAAAAAGAAAAAAAAATAAGTCACAGTAATAAAAATGGCAATGCCATAAAAAAGACCCATTCAAAAGACTAAAAAGGTCAGAGACAGACATGTGAATACTTAACCATGTGCTGAAGGAAGCCTCACAAACTTGGAAATAGATGGGTAGTGTGACTGCAAAAGAAAATGTGGACAAATTTAACTTCATAAAAATTAGCCAAAGGCACTCCCCAAAAAGTCAAAAGGCAACCTTTTGCAACAAAAGACAGAAAAAAAAATTAATTGTAAAACACATTCTTATAAGTAAATATGAAAAAAGAACCCAAAGAAAAAGAAAAAATATAAGATGACCACTCCTATAGAAAGAAAACAAATGGCTGATCAACCTGGGAAAAGGATTTTCTATCTCACTTTTATTTAGGAAAATGCTCATTAAAGCCAGGTGCAGTGGCTCACGCCTGTAATCCCAGCACTTTGAGAGGCCAAGGCGGGCACATCACAAGATCAGGAGTTCAAGACCAGCGTGACCAGCATGGTGAAACCGCGTCTCTACTAAAAATGCAAAAAAATAGCCAAGTGTGGTGGCGCACATCTGTAATCCTAGCTACTCAGGAGGCTGAGGCAGGAGACCTGCTTGAACCCAGGAGGTGGAGGTTGCAGTGAGCTGAGATTGAGCCACTGCACTCCAGCCTGGGTGACAGAGTGAGACTCCATGTCACAAAAAAAAAAAGCTCATTAAAAGATGAAATACAAAGATTGACAAAAATTTAAAATTTAATGATATAATAATACTATTGGCAAATTTGTGGGAAAGCTTGTGCCATCAAACTCAGCTAATATAGGAATGGATTTGCAATCATTATTACAACTGTAGAATGCAAATGGTCTTTGATTCAGCATGATATGAGCTTACATATATGAGCAATGGTCACACGTGCCGATTGCACAGGTTTAATTTAGCAAAAGGATGAAACAAGCCAAATATACATGGATGGGGAGATGTTTGGATCAACATTCACACAATGGAATACTATACAGCTACACAAAAGGAGAAAATAAGGATCATTAGTCCTACACAATGCAGGCTGGAATCATACAGAAACTCTGGAAGGCAAATTGGCCATACCTACAATGACTGGAATTATTTACACAAGTGACTTCAGGAAAGGGATGGGCCAAATAAAACATGGAATGCCATTCAGCACTCAGAAAAAGTAGCTATAAGACACACGGTTGAGTGGAAAAAACATGTTCCAAAATGTCCGTATATGTAAATACCATAGGGCACAAAATATATGGAATATATAAGGAGATAGATAGATGATAGAAAGATATGTAGACAGATGGATAAACAGACAGACAGATAGATGACAAGTCAGCATCTCCACAGGCCCCCTTGGAGAAAGGGAGGGGATTAGGTGGGGTGGCAGGAATGTCAAGGATAACCCTTGTCTTCTCTGCAATGTCTCATTGAGTGCAAGAAGAACCCGTTCTCATCATTGTTTGTGTAATTCAAAACTCATTTTCCATGTGGCATATATACAAAACGAATGCTATTCAGCCTTAAAACAGAATAAAATCCATTTGTGATAACAAGGAAGAACCTGAAGGACATTATGCTAAGTGAAATGAGCCAGGAACAAGAAGGCAAATAGTACGCAACCTTACTTGCCTGTGAGATCTGAAATAGTTAACACACAAATCTTAGAAACAGAGAACAGAATGGTAATTACCAGAGGAGGGAGGAAGAAAGAACAGAAAGATGTTGGTCAAAGGGTACAAGTTTCTGTTAGACAGGAGGAATAAGTTTTGAGATCTATTGCATGCATGGTGACTACAGTTAATAATATAATTCAAAATTGCTAAGAGTAAATTTCAAGGCTGGGCGCGGTGGCTCAAGCCTGTAATCCCCAGCACTTTGGGAGGCCGAGGCGGGTGGATCACGAGGTCAAGAGATCGAGACCATCCTGGTCAACATGGTGAAACCCCGTCTCTACTA